TAAAACAATTTGAAAATCGATCAAGATCACATATACACATATATGTTTCATCATAAAAACATATTAATTGTTTATATTGTCGACATAAATGAGGATAATATTTAATACGATGAAGATAATTATAAGATTTTAAAGTAGAATTCATTAATTCATGTATCGAAACACATTGTTGATTTGATGATAATTTCATTTGAATATGATTTAATTTTTGAATAGTTTCTTGTTTAATAATTAAATAATAATCGTTTTTTAAAAGTTCAATAAAAAGAATATGAAATTGTGGTTTTACGTGAATTTGTATTGTGTTTTCTCCGTATTTAATCTTTTTTATTTCTGTTATATGTTGATGTTCTGAATGATCAAATGCTTTGATATAATGAATAAATATAATTGAAACTTGTTGAATCATTTTTTCATTTAATTCAATATAAATTTCATCTTCAGTTTGATTTTCACATCGTTTTCCATAGAAATTTTCCTTACATAAACAAGTAAAATCATTTACATTGATACGATCATCGACTGGTATACATAATCCATTATTTTCGCATGAATTATTTAATGATTGACAAACTGAACGTGTTATATGACAGTTTCGACCGAATTTCTTCATTGAACATAAACAAATAGACGAAGTAAGACAAAATGAATCTGATGAACAAGAACAAGAATGTTGAATATTACAATAACGACCCGAATAACCTTGATCACATTGACAAAAATACGAAGAATTTTTATTAACATATGGCATACATCGACCATGTTTTCCACAAGATAATTTGCATGATGATTCGAATTGTTGTGTAGTAATTGGAATAAATAATTGTGTAGCAATTCGATTAACAGGTAAAAACTGAAAAGGAATTGATAGATACCAACTTGCCCAATATGTTAATGTAATTTTATTAAAGATATCAATACGTATTGAATAATTACTTGAAAGATTTTTGGGTCGATGAGGATAAAGTAAATATATATTAAATTTCTTTAGACAATCACGTTTAGGTACGTATGTAATTTGTTCATGATACGAATAAATTGTTTCTTGATCATCGATAAGCATGATTACTAATTGAAAAGAATGTATATTATCTGTAATCGTACGATATATCAATTGAAGCGTTAAACTAATACGTTGATTTTGTAAATGACATCGATGACCAAAATAAGATGGAGGACAAAGACATTTTTTTGTATGGCTGTTTTTGGATAGAAGAGGAATTCCTCGATTACAATACCAATCGCGTTTAACTTTTTGCATTGAAGTACTTATATTAACATCTACTTGAGATAGTTGTGGAACCGAAGAATTAATAGAAATTGATGGAAAATAACTTAATCCAAATGTTTGAAGAAATTGTTTTGGTTTTCTTTTAAAGTAATCTTTGTTTACAAGAGTGCACATTCCATGACTATATAACGGCAGATTAGTAGGAATATTAAACGCCGGAGGTAGTTTGGTTTGTATAAAACAATTATCATCATGAACTATTGATGGAATCAATGGAGGATCACTAAAATATTCTGCAGTAATACATTTCGTTTGATTCCATAAGAAGCAGTCTCCTAACTTATCATTCGTTATATTAGTAAACAGGACTTGGCGTTTTGAATGTGTTTTAAAATATGTAAATTCTTCCATTAAATGGAGAAATGGTATACACTTACCATTGTCAGATTCTGAATTTAGACATATGTGTTCGTTTAATGAACAACGTGCATTTGGACAATTCAATTCATCAGCACCATTCAAACAATGCCAAGCGTTATCACATCGAGAGTATGGATTCTTACATGGCCACCAATCACAATTCGTTTCGTCTGTATTATTGAATGCATCCATTGAAAATAAATCCTTTTCTCCATCGCAAAATATTGCAAATGGTACAAAATTACTTCGAATATCTAGTCGACGTTCAAGCTGTTCATCATCTCCCTGTTCGCAATCCTTTATTCCATTGTCAGTAGCAACTATTGATAAACATTTTTCCGGATTAGATGCACATATAAAACGTTTCGAATCATTTGATTGACAAGCAGGAAATAATTCATCTTCTTTGTAATAACAATCACGATAACCATCAACTAATCGATGTTTTGAAATGCATTTTAATGAACGTGGACAATGAAACAAGGATGAATGTGAACATACTTGATCTGTACCAATTGTTAAACAACGTTGACTAAGATCGATCAAAATCTCATCCAAATGAATCCAACTGCCTAATATTCTATTTATTAGATTATTCATTTTACAACATGTGAGTCCGTTATGCATGCCAATATCTATTGAACAATATACTAATCCAGGACAATGACTTGCATTAAAACAGATAAAATCAGGCGCAATATTAACCTTAAATTCATCAAATGATCGATTCGTTAAATAAACAAATTGAAATAAGCCATATATAAAATGATATTTAGGCAATACAAGCCATTCCGATTGACAATGATTAGCAAGAAATTCACATCCATTTTTGCTTGTATCATTATATTTAAATTCAAAAATGGTACTGAAACGAAGTGAGCAGTAGAATGCTTGTTTACATAATACGTTTGAAATGTGATCTAACGAAGTGAAAACATTAAAAAACATATAATAATATCGATTATTAGTGCAGATATGAATGTTTTTTGTTGTAGATTCTGTCCAAATCGAGGAATTTATCCAACCATTACATGGAAATAATACAAGAGAACGTCGATCATTGAGTTCTTCACAGTGGAATGTTGATACGCGTGTACATAGGCTGTCAGTTACGTATCGTGAGTATTTTATCGGATAGATTTCATCTGAACCATCAAGACAATCAGTACTTGCTTTTCCATCACGAAGAAATGCGGACGAAATACATTGACCACCGAAGTGACAACGAAATTCATTCTCGAAACATTCATTCACTTCTAATATGTCACATAATTGCTCATCTTCTCCATTGAGACAATCAAAATATCCATCACAAATTTCATGCCAATCAAGACACATCGGTGATGGACCACGATAACAGTCAGGTAAAAATGGATAACATGTATTCGAATAGATGTATGTCGAAGGTATACCATTAGTACTATAATGAAATTGAAGAACTTCATTAAATGAAGGTAATATAGCAGATTCAAATCTATACTGACACGTTGAACCAAACCATGGTAAGGAACAGTTATAAAATATTTCATTCGAATTTTGACCGTTTTTTTCATATCGTTCGATAATATCGATTGGTACTGACCATGCGAGTAATTGCGTACTTGTTATACCTTGTCGATATAATTCAGTAAACGTCATGTTATTTAAAATATTCTCGTACGATATAATAGTGAAATTTTCTTCCTCGTCAGTTTCATCAAGTCGTCGACAATAAGGAATTAAACTGTAATCAACAGTAGATACTAACGTTGTATCTGCTGATAGATCTCCTGAATAGGCATATAAACAATCAAATGTTGCATTAAATCCATATCGATCATCAGAATAGTATACAAAATAATGACCATCAACAATAATAATAAAAGATATAAGCAACACTAGTAATGATACAAACTCCATTCTCCGCCGAGTGAAGTAAAATAAGTTTTCTTTTTAAACTTTATGTAGTATTAATCTAGAGATAAAAATATTGCTTTATCTTTTTTTTTTCTGAGCATATAATGAACACGTTTCTAACATTCTAGAATTTCTTTGTGCAACAACAGAAATAACATTAAAGAAAGTAAAGACTTAACATATGTTAAGGAATTCATTAGAGTAAAGAAAAGAGATCTTTTTAGTAGTTTAGAAACGATTTCATCTATGCTTTTAAATTGAAGATATGCAATCATCTTTGGAAAGACTCTTTTCATTAATTTATTATGTATTGTTTGTCACAAAATAATAAAGTAAAAAAGAAACGGATAATTACTTTT